GAGGGGACCCCACGGGACAGGTGGAGCAGCACCCTCGGGACTTTCTTGACTCCGATCTTTACAGGAGCAGGCTCCAAGCCTTTCCTCCCTCGGAGCTGCTGGGGAGCAAGGGGGCTTGAGCTCACAACCTTTGGGTTATCAGCACAACCCGCTCTGAACCGCCTGGGGACTTGACGTCCTCAGCTCTCTGGAGCTGCTTCAGCAATCTGCTCTTTTATCTGGGACAGCTGGCTCCGTGAAGACTGGTCTCTCTTTGAAGAGCGGTTTAAGTGGAAAACAAAGCACAGTGTAGAGCTACGTGTCCACTGTGGGTGGCTTGGTTGCCCACCCAACACAGGCCACATCAGTGAGCAAGGGAGAAGCTCCCTGTCAGGTGACCGACCGGTCACCACACATCCCTGGAGATGCTTGGTTGGAGACCTTCTCTCTGGATGACCAGAGCTGGGCTGCACTTGCCTGTGAGCAGCCGATGAGTACATGTGTGACTTTATTGGGCTTTCTGGGAGCTGCCACGATGCCTGCCTCTGCACGGACCCCCTGGGCCACCAGGACACCTCCCTGGACTGGGCAAGAGGCTGGAGAAGACCCTGTAATTAAGGAGACCATTGCAATTCAAAGACCCTGGGGCTCTGGGGCAGCAAGGTCCAACGGTCTGCAACCCCAGGCTGTGCTTCCCATCGACTGAGTGTGTGTGAGCGCGCCACTTCCTTCTCCGCGTTTTCCAGTCTTTGGCTGGAAAGGTCCAGGCAGGGGTGGTGGGCAGTTTGTGGGGAGCCAGAGGGTGTGCAGGGAGTGGCCACGGGGTGGGTAGAACAGCCTCAGGCTTGCAGACAGCCCGGCGGGGCCAGGCCAAGAGGCGGCTGGCAGCAAGGGTGAAGGTGGGTATCATGGGTCAGAAGAGGAGGCGTTCTGCAAGTGTGTGGACCCTTGTCTTTCCCACCCAGCAGACAGCGGCTCACTGCAGCCTCCTGCCTCTGACCGGCTGATACTCTGGTCTCGGCAGAAGATCACCAATCCTCTGAGCCCGCCCTTGGGGAAGACCTGGCTGACCATGTGCTCCAGGAAGGACGGAGCGGAGGTCAACCAGTCCGCAGCAGCAGGTGGCCCACACCATCCATCTCTGTCCTTTGCTTTGAATCAGAAGCAGAGCTTCAAACTGGGCTGCACCTGTGGTATCCCTGCTGGGGAAGCCAGTCCCTCTCCATCTGATGGACTGAATCGGAATCACAGACTAACGAGACACACAGATGCACACAGTGTGTGTGCACACGCTCTTGTGTAACTGCAATGCATGTCGACTGGTCTGATCTGCATGGATCCTGGGAGGGCACAGCTGGGGGCTGGCCCAAAGGCAGCCAGCAACAACACCCTGCCTCCCTGTCTTTCTGGCATCCCTGCCTCGGGGGATTAAATATAGCCACTCAGGGCCAGTGCTTCTCTCTCTCTCTCTCTCTCTCTCTC